ACCAATATGGCAGAGGCATATGTGCTCTAAGTAGTCAACACCTTAGTTCCAATTTGAAAAGTGCTAATATCCCAAGAAGGAATTTCTCTGGAGAAGCAGAAAGTATTTACATTTGAAATACAGAACAGTAACAGTATACAGGTCCACAGGATCAAAAAAGACAGTGTTTTTAGGGCATCAGGTCATTTCCCACCACCACTCTGCACTTACTGACTCTATGGAAATTATTTAGATTAGCAGGAGTAGAAACGCGACTAAAAGAAAAATTAAACAACCACCACCACCAATTTCTCATTTAGGGGGGGAAAAAAATGGAGGAATACACATCTAAGCCAAGAAGAGTGCTAAACAGTTGTAGCAGATGGTAAGGAAAGGTGGATGGGGCACATGGAAAAGAAATAAAGGGCAATTTGGCAAACTGGCACCAACCACAAAAAAATACCTGAATAAAACGTGGATGTGTTCAGTTCCATCAGTGTCTCTTTCCAATTACTGTACCAAGGAACACTAGCTTTAACTGAGCGATCTGATAGAAAAAACATGATATTATTATACTAAAAAGGGTCAGGTGCAAACACACTATTGGCTTTTATGCTCTGGCAGCATGAAGCAGAAAATCTATACCATGTAGGCCCATCAGGGACTTCAAACATTTGATTCCAGCTAACCTTAATCATGAACATTTCAGGCTCCTCAACATCTGACAGTGTACTTTAATATAATTCAGTATTAATTTCTGGTTCAGTCCAAATTCTGGGCTTGAATAAAAATACAAATCCATAAAGTAGTAAAGAATTAAGTTATACTTAGATATTATTTCTATTTTTCTACTTAGAAGATACTATAAATGTAAGACACTAATTTCTGAGATTTCTCAGCCTGCAGTATTACAGTTAAAGTAACTGAAGGTGTTAGCTGCTGTAAGTGGTTGGCCCAATTTTCTCCCTTATCTCCATCATATTCCTGCATTGCTGCACGCCAGCGTTAGCACCATGTAGGCCTGAACAAACACAGCCAGGGAAGTGATCCAGCTGAAAACTTGTTTGGGAGAAGTAAAAAAGTCAAGTCTTCAGTGGAATCACTTTTCCTTACTCTCCACATGCACCAGTACATGGGAGAAGCAAACACGGCTGAAAGTAAGCACCCTTTCAGCAATCCACCAGGTCTCTCAGCACAAGAAGATTATGGAATTGTAAGACTATTAAACAAGTGTAACAAAGAACCATTACAAACAATTAAACTAGTTCACCACAGCAGTTCCAAAACTTTTTTTAGAAAAGAGCAGGATCACAACCCCAGTACCGGAAACTCTCATACATGAGCTTCTTAAACAATGTTTGTGTCTTCCTTCAGAAGAGACTCCACTTGATCGCCACTAAAGCTTAAGGAAATATGTTTTGCTATCCTAGAAAGCTAATACACCAGAAGAACAAGAGTATATTAAAGAACAGATTAGAGTATTTTACATATCCATGCCAAAAGATTATGTTTTGTTGCCAGGAATGAATGCTTCCATGGATTTTCAATAAAACGCTCTAACAAAGTTGGAAAAAAAATAAGTTTCTTAGTAAATACCCATGGTTTTCCAATTAGAAAAGGAGCTCTACCTGACAAGCTAGGGACTTCCTCACATCCTCCTACAAAATAATGGGATACAAATTTCATTACCAAGAACACAGTACCAGTGTTTTGTGCTAAAGCCCTACAACGGTGTACCACAAAACTACAAAGTTGTTACATGATTTTGTCTTTCTGCGGGATCTTAATGAGATTATACATCTCTCCTCCTTCTGTCAAACAAGCACACAGTCAGTCTGAATGGAAATACGAACCTTATCACCGAGTGACAGAAGATAGTCAAGTATGATAATTTGTACATCTGAGGCTCCATCAGCAAATAAAGAAAATGAGAGTTACTTGCTTCTACACCTAAAAGGCATGGCTTGATACAGCCACTATTCTTCCCTTCTTTCAATACCTCACTTCTAATCTGAGGTCACTAGAAATGCTACAGAAAAGCCTCTTAGCTGAAACCATTCCTCTTCTTTATGGTCTTCCAATCTCTAGAATTCAAACAGACTTTCCCTCCACAAAAATTTCACCAAAAAATGGCAACTCATCAATTCTACAGATAAACAGGGGCATGGAAACTGAAAAAGGGTGTAGTTTCCAATAGCTCTCAAAAATTACAACTTCCAGGCTCAAGTCTTTTCCTTTACTCTCAATATTTCACATGAAGTTGAGGATATGACTTGTAAATTAGGTATCAAAGATGTAAAACTACGTATTTTTTCATCATCAACATTGAAAATAATCAACATACTATGACAACATCACTTAAAATCCTCAAGAATTTTCATCAGTCTTTTGCTATAGCAGAGCCAAATTCTTCACTGCATGCTGAACTTTAAGTACAATAAATTACTCATGTTTAAATAGGGCAATGCATACATGCTTTGAATTGATTCTGTACTCAAAGGCTTTAACGGATTAGGGTCTTAATTGGTAGGAGTTTAATCTTCTCAGCTCTCAAGATCAGGTCTCATTTACTATTATTCACAATCCCTTATCCCCTGGAGATCTGAAAAAACAATTTTAGAATATTCCAGCCATTTTGACAGTGAAATATGAAGTACAGAGTTGCACGGCAAAAAACAGGACAAGGAATCACATACCTTTCCTCAAAACCTTTTCATCCTTAAACTTTTTATGACAACTTTCTGAACTCCATACATTAAGCAATAAGCAAAAAGACAAACAAAAGAAGCTAGGAGGAGTAATTTCAATGTAAAACTGTACATTAGTACCAAAATTTTAAGTAAGTTCCAGTATTTGCTCAGCAAAGCGTAAAAAGTTAGCGTATCAGTTTTGTAACATGAAAACCTCTCTAATTTCATGAGCTGTTAACACAATCAAAGCATGTCAACCTACATTAAAATAATATGATGATTTAACACAAGTTGAGAAGAATTATAACATTAGGAAACATGAAATTAAGAACGATGAAGTTCAGCCACTTTCTTAGCATTATATAAGAACAAAACCATTTGATAAATCTGAATCAGTAAACACAATGACTTAAAACTCAACAACTCTCAGAGTAACTTCAATAAGTGCCACAAACTTGAAATTAAGGTTAGAAACCTTACGGTAAATTCCAGTTAAGTTACAAAAAAAATACAATCTCATTACATACCACTAATGTTGAGATCATAATCTCCAGCTGTGATCACATTAGCTACTAGTCCTTCAGCAGGCTGACTGACAGACACAACATCATTCAAAAGTTTCCGAATGGCACCGGGCTGAGGTGGGCGAGTAATAATGTTGTTGACAGCAATCTTCAAATTTTTAATTATGTGAAGCTGATTATTAGGATCTCTCATGTGAACTAAAAAAAGAAAAGAAATAGGCTTTTTTTGAGAAGTACAACACATAATTAAGGTAGTTACCATAAACTAGTATTTCCCCAACAGATTTTTGCTTTTTCTTTAAGGATTACTTACTTCACTAAACTGCTCCACCGTCAATTTTAGATCACAGACCATAATACTTGAGTATCAAAAACAAACAGGGAAGGGAAGAATGAGAAATCACTTCACGTTCAACATTAGGCTCTTCTAGGCAGACTGATCCAAACCTAGCACAGGATTTTAGCTTATAAGAATATCCACTCAGAGTAACAAAGCACTCAAAATCAATGCCTTACACTGCAGCACCTCCTTCCTTGAGGAACGTACTCAACTTGCACAGAAAGCCTATAGTAACTATGTGTGGATGTCACGTAAGATCTATTCCAAGGGGTCCCCAGTTTCCAAGAAAACCTAGTACACAATAACAGTATTCACGAAACTTGAAAGGGATAGCATAGTATCAGTTCATCCAAAATGAACATATCCTTTCATTTGTAATACTACAGTGTGATTATTTTTGTTTTGTTGGTTTTAGGGTTTTTTTGAAGGAATGGTTTCATAACTCCCCTGTTCTCCAAAAAGCATTCACACAACTGGTTTATTTAAAAAAAAATAATGTTACTGAAGTTACACTACTTGAGTGACGAACTTTTAGTAAAAATAATCAACTAAAGTCAACGTTAATAACACATTGTCTGAAAGCAGCCCTGCAGAGAAGGACTTGGGGGTACTGGTGGATGAGAAGCTCAACGTGAGCCACCAGTGTGCACTCACAGCCTACAAGGCCAACCATATCCTGGGCTGGATCAAGAGAAGTGTGGCCAGCAGCTCGAGGGAGGTGATTCTGCCCCTCTACTCTGCTCTGGTGAGACCTCACCTGGAGTACTGCGTCCACCTCTGGAGCCCTCAGCACAGGAAAGACATGGAGCTGCTAGAGCAGTTCCAGAGGAGGCCACAAAAACGATCAGAGGCATGGAACACCTCTCCTATGAGGAAAGGCTGAGAGCTGGGGCTGCCTGGAGAATGTAACGCTGCGGCAAGACCTTACTGCAGCCTTCCAGTACCTGAAAGGGGCTTATAAGAAAGATGGGGACAAATATTTTCGCAGGGCCTCTTGTGATAGGACAAGGGAGGATGGTTTTAAACTGAAAGAGGGTAGATGTAAATTAGATATAAGGAAGAATTTATTTACAATGAGAGTGGTGAAACACTGGCACAGGTTGCCCATAGAGGTGGTAGATGCCCCATCCCTGGAAACATTCAAGGCCCGGTTGGACAGGGCTCTGAGCAACCTGGTCTAGTGGAAGATGCACCTGCTCACTGCAGGGGGCTTGGACTAGGTGACTTTTAAAGGTCCCTTCCAACCCAAACCATTCTATGATTCTATGAACACCAGCACTTCCAATTCCCTTTTAAATGCTTGTTTGAAAAACAGAAAAAGTCTTGAGTATTAAATATTGATTTCAGAATTTTGCATGAGAATTTTGCTTGACAAATGGCAAATTATTGCATGCAGCCTCAAAAAAAAAATCCCAACAATGCAGTTAAAGTGTCCATGGACCTAATGGTTATGAGAATTAGAAACAGCTGGCAAGCGTGTAAGGTGTTGGTGTGAAAGTTCGCTTATTTAGAAAAAGTGAAGTAGACTTATCAGCAAAAATAATATTCAAGAAAACCAAACACATTCATTATTAAAGTGAGCCTTTAAAAAGGCACTAGCAGCCTTATGTTATTAGCACGTAGTAAGTTATGCTCTTTTAGCTTTACGTTACTTATCCAAAAAATACTTTGCTCCCATTATGACCAACTTCTCCACAAAATAACTTTGTGATGCAAGTGGTTTGAAGAGCCAACGAGGAGAGGCGCTCTGCTGGACCTTGTACTGACAAACAAAGAGGGACTGGTGGAGGACATGAAGGCTGGGAGCAGCCTCAGCTGCAGTGACCATGAAATGGTGAACTTCAGGATACCGCATGGAGGAAATGGGGCAATAAGTAAGATCAAAACCTTGGACTTCAGGAGAGCTAACTTTGGCCTCTTCCAGGAGCTACTGGGAGGAACCTCATGGGTCAGGGCTCTAGAAGGTAGGGGGGTCCAAGAGAGCTGGTCACTGTTTAAGCATCACTTCCTCCAAGCTCAGGATTGGTGCATCCCCCTGAGCAAGAAATCTAGAGAAGGCGGCAGGAGACCCGCATGGATGACCAAGGAGCTTCTGGCAGAACTCAGGTGGAAGAGAAAGGTCTATGGAATGTGGAAAGAGGAACAGGCCACTTGGAAGCAACACAGGAATGTTGTCAGAGCATGCATGGATGCAACAAGGAAGGCGAAGGTCCATCTGGAACTGAATCTGGCAAGGGATGTCAAAGACAACAAAAAAGGCTTCTTCAACTACAGCAGCACCAAACGGAAGACTAGGGATAATGTGGGGCCACTGCTGAATGAGGTGAGTGCCCTGGTGACGGAGGACGCAGAGAAGGCACAGATACTGAATGCCTTCTTCGCTTCAGTCTTCAGTGCCAAGGCCAGCCCTCAGGAATCCCAGGCCTTGGAGGTAACAAAGGAAGCCTACAGAGAGGATGACCTTCTCTGAGGACTGTGTGAGACATCACTTAAGCAATCTGAACACCCATAAATCCACGGGCCCCAACGGAATGCACGCACGAGTACCCTAAAATCATGCAAGAAGCTACATATTTGAGGGGGGAAGAAAGGGAAGGGAGTTGGTCGCTTGAGGTTTTTTTAATAAACTACACTGGTAGAAAACCAAATCATTGCAAGTTAGGTACCAATGCAGATTTACAGCCAGTTAGCTGTTGTGTGGTAACTCCTCAAGGTTAATCCAGGAACCTGATTTCTCATGTTTTGTCATTTTTGTCATCATTTCTGTTGTCTACCTTGACTTCAGCAAGGCTATTGATGCTATCTCCCATAACATCCTCATAGGCAAGCTCAGGAAGTGTGGGCTGGATGAGAGGTCAGTGAGGTGGATTGAGAACTGGCTGGATGGCAGAGCTCAGAGGGTTGTCATCAGCGGTGCTGAGTCTAGTTGGAGGCCTGTAACTACTGGTGTCCCCCAGGGGTCAGTACTGGGCCCAGTCTTGTTCAACTTCTTCATCAACGACCTGGATGAAGAGCTAGAGTGCACCCTCAGCAAGTTTGCTGATGACACCAAATGGGGAGGAGTGGTGGATACCCGAGAAGGCTGTGCTGCCATTCAATGAGACCTGGACAGGCTGGAGAGTTGGGCAGAGAGGAACCTGATGAAGTTCAACAAGGGCAAGTGCAGGGTCCTGCACCTGGGGAGGAACAACTCAATGCACCAGTACGGGCTTGGGGCTGACCTGCTGGAGAGCAGCTCTATGGAAAGGGACCTGGTTGTCCGGGTGGATGACAAGTTGACCACAAGTTGGCAGTGTGCCCTGGTGGCCAAGAAGGCCAATGGGATCCTGGGGTGCATTAAGAAGAGTGTGGCTAGCAGGTCGGGGGAGGTTCTCCTCCTCTACTCTGCCCTAGTGCTGTGAACAGTTCTGGGCTACCCAGTTCAAGAAAAATGAGGAACTACTGGACAGAGTCCAGCAGAGGGCTACGAGGATGACGAGGGGAATGGAGCATCTCTCCTATGAGGAAAGGCTGAGCGAGCTGGGCTTGTTTAGCCTGAAGAAAAGGCTGAGAGGTGACCTTGTAAATGCCTAGAAATATCTGAAGGATGGGTGTCAGGAGGATGGGGCCAGACTCTTTTCAGTGGTGCCCAGCAACAGGACAAGGGGCATCGGGCACAAACTGAAGCATAGGAAAATCCACCTAACATAAGGAAGAACTTCTTCACTCTGAGGGTGACGGAGCACTGGAATAGGTTGCCCAGAGAGGCTGAATATCTCCAGAGAAGGAGAATCCACAACACCCAGCTGGACAAGGTCCTGTGCAACCTGCTCTAAGAGACCCTGCTTTGGCAGGGGATCTGGACTAGATGACCCACAGAAGTCCCTTCCAACCCCTACCGTTCTGTGAAAGCCATGAGAGGGACAACGCCACCAGAGAAAGAGTCCCAAGCCAATGCACAGGGGTCAATACAAGCCTAAAGCACAAGGCAGCAGCAAAGTCCACCAAGATGATCAATGAACAACAGTATTTAACTGAAAGTTAAAGCTGAAATTTCAAATAACTCACAGCTACACGTGAGGTGCCCTTGTTTTGCATATATTTAAAAAAAAATACCATCAAAGACAGAAATGAACTTTGTCTATGATGATATCAGATCGCTTTTATTCCCCAAGTCTCTGCTTTTGAGGTTTTTTTTGTTTTTCAAAAAACTCTCCAGTGTCCTGAAAAGCAAAAAATGATCATAAGAAAAATAAGGTTTTTTACACTTGCGTGTACTCACCCGACCCTTCTACTCAAGGTCTAGCTCTGACCTTTTCACTAAAACTTTATTGGGCTGCGATCTCTTTTGTATCTTATAGACAAAGTTACACGTTGCCACAAGCAACAATTTGATCTTCACATGACTTGTAAATGCAAAGCTCGCTTTGTAGAAACTTGCTTCCTCAAGCCATCTGTTTTTAAAAAATTATTTGTGACATTTTAAACAGACATTACAATCCTCGATCTGCTCTGATTTTTCATGTCATTTTCCCTATTTCAAACAACAAGCACCACAAAGCAAGCCAGACTATAAGTGCAGGCAGGACACATTGAGTATACCTCCCTAAGACACTTCGTGCTACCACGTGTCCCACAGTACAGCACTCGACTCCTTTGCTTTTTATTTTCACAAACCACTGCATGGCATATAAAAAGGTAGCCCAAAGGAAAATTCTTGTTTTTCTCCTTGTCTCCATTCACCACAAAATTCACACCATGAAGGTCTGAAACTGAGTCTTCAGCCCCCTCCAGCCTGGAGGGCACTCCACACCTTTTCCACCAGCCTTTTCAGAAGTAACAGCTACTCGGCCCGAGACAGATCACGCTAGATGTGTTT